AGAAAAACCTTTGAACCGGCGGAAACAAATGATTGTCACCGACTGATCCATCAAATCGGATCGAGAAAAGATCGAGAAGAAGAGATCGAGTTACCCTCGGACAAAGTGATCGCGACGTTTCGTTCCGCTAGCCTATTGTCGTATCTCGATCCTTGCCACGATCCATAGATGCTCGACCCACTTAAAACTGCGACTCAATTACGCGCACGACCTATCAGACTCCTCCTCCTCTTCCTCCTCGATCCTACTTGTCGCTCGGATTAAACCGAAACCTCGATCTCGAACCAGTTGCGTTTCGAGAAAAAAAAGGAAAAAAAAAAAAAAAAAAAAAAAACGCAGCCAGACTAATCTGTATTCCCACGGGAGATCGGCCATTTCGTTCCTTTTCTCTCCCTCCCTCCCCCCCCTCCGCCCTCATTAGATTTACGAGCTTTCTACTCCACATTCCCGATACCCGATGATGAGAGAGAGAAAGAGAGCAATTGAAATGCAAGACAGATTAGAATTATCCGCTACTGGCTAATTCCGAGCGCGTCGATAGCGGTAGTAATTAACGTTAAACAAACGCGAAACCAACTTTTCCAACGACCCCACTTTCAAAACAATGTCTTTCGACTTCTATATATCTCGTATTTCGTTCGTATCCGTGTCCCGATTCCCCCGTTTCGTCATGTATCGTCAATGTGGATAATCGATGGCGGATAACTTCGAATCGACAACCTAACCTCAAACCGTCCGACCGATAAGATTAAAAAACTATATAATTAAATTTCCCGATTCCGAATATAATGTGACAAGGAGGGGTCCTCGGTTATTTTTGCAGACCACGAATGTGGGTGGCGGTAGCGTGGTGGAGAAACTGTCTTTCTACAATCACACGGAATGCGAGTGTCGAGAGAGAACCGAGTACGACGCGAGCAACGAGAAACCCTTGGAGCACAGAGTCTACAGACATCATCTGTCCTCCTCGCAACCTCAAAACATGAGAAGGGCACAGCCGAGAAAACCGTGAGTTCTTTCTTTATTTTTCGTCTATCTTTCGAGTCAAAAAAAAAAAAAAAAAAAATTAATCTTCAATTGATCAGGTGCCGGTGTCC